CTGGGGTCAATCTGGACACCAACCTGGAGTTTGATCCTGTTTGTTGACCCTATTTGATCCGGAGTTCATGACCTAGGAGCCTTAAATCATCACAGAAGTGAGCTCACATGAACAGCAAGACACCCTGAGAATTCAGGTCTCTAGCTTTTGATTTGTATCTTCTAGATCTCAGGGCTCAAATTGCTCCACTAGCCGCCGAGTGCGTGGTGATCTCTGAAACGGTTTGATGGGCAACACAACAACTGAACGAACAAATTCCATTGACCTGGAATCAGGTATGAAGTCAGACCAAGGTGAAAACTAACCTGTTTTATTCCCTTAAGCTTGTTGTATGGAGTATGAAAACTAACCTGTTTTATTCCCTTAAGCTTGTTGTATGGAGTATCTGGTGCTCATTTTGAATTCATTTATAACAGGAACGGCATTATATGTACATTTTCCAGGGGGTTCTTAAACCTTCCAAACGACAAACAAGGTCACTGACATTAAATGGGCACCAACGACATTTGCTTAGAACAGGTATCTAGGTCAAGGGAGGTTGGATGAGAAGGTCGGGAGCACTTTTGACACCAATCTGCAATTTGATCTTGTTTGACCCTATTTTATACAAAGGTCATAACTTCGTAACCTCAAGTTATGTCAAAAGTGAGTCCACGTACAGGCTAACACACCATGCGAATTTAGCATCTCTAGCTCTCTTAGTTTCTGAGATCTCGACGGGGTTGATTGCCCCCCCCCCCCCCCCCCACCCGAGCGAAGGGTATTCAACCGGCCACCCGGGCCCGCGTTAATGAACGAATAACGTAAAATACCCTAGTGTTCCTGACAGCAGTGCTGGTGTTGGTAAACGTACCGGCACCGAAGCGAGCACGTAGGTTTATACCAAGTGACCTGAGTTATGACGTACAAATAACTGAAATCATACCAAGGAGACTGTCTCATAAGGCCACCAGATGGGGTTTTGACATGCGGCTTGTGGAAGCCCAGGCACGAAAATGAAAGCGGGCATGTATCTTTCATCAAGTTGTGTTTGCTAACTTACTCATCGGAAGAAAACAGCAGTTGGATGTCGCACGTGCAGCCTTTTTTCTGACGATAGGCTGGCTTCTCCGCTCCGCGATTGACTGTAGAGGTATCTGTGAAAAGCTAGCGTATTGAGAACGGATTTTTCATTGGCCTTCCCTCCGCCGCTCGTGCATGTGACGCACCGTATATATATATATATATATATATATATATATATATATGTATGTATGTATGTGTGTGTATATGTATGTATATATACATGCACATATATATATATATATATATATATATATATATATATATATATATATGTATATATATGTATATAAGTTTTGCCCAGATAACCCCCGGCCCCATAAATGATTTGTATCAAACAGAAACGTGGTCTAAACGGACATTTCCTGCCCCGTCTCGACATATTTAGTTACAAATTGACCTTGTCCACTTTGTCTTGTCTCTCACATCACGGAGAAGCAAAACATGCTCGGCACAGCCACTCGCAATGGGGGTTTTGCCCTTGGTTGGTGCCAAACGAAACTTGATGATTCTTGAGCTTTTGCGGAGCTCTAGGATGAAACCATCAGACAGTTATGACAAACTGACCTGGAAATGCTTGGATATTGCATCAACATATAAAGTTTTGTGTGAAAGCAGCGGACACGTTTCAAAGACATGCCATAAATCAAGACATAAATAACAACATAAATCGGCATGCTTACTCTCTTGTCAATCAATTACCGCGAGGCAACAGATTGTGACACGGCTGCACCTGATGAGAATAAATGTGTCGACTGGAAGGATTGTAAAAATCGCCGAAGACCAGGTACGCAAAACGGTGCCCTTGAATTGCCGATTCGCTTGTATTAGCTCAATGTCCACCGAAGCACATCAGTACAATTTGGGTTTGTAGACATTTCGATGAACGCACCTTTCAAAAGGATCCAAAACTTGGACCAAAACTTTCCTTTATCAACGGAGCAACGAACTGGTGAATGTCGCATACCACTTGCATTGCATATGACGAGTAACTCAAAATTTTCATGAAACCAGGGACGGCACTTTTCGCCTTTGAATGGTTCGGTTCATTGCTTAAACTCTCCTTTACAATTTCACCCATCCAGTAAAATTCGCTCTTTCAAATTGGAAATTACGCGCAATGCAAATCACAAAAACCAAAATTTGTGCTGCTCACAACGCATCGGTCATTGCTTCTGACCCGGTCAGGGCTGTTCCGCTCCAGTGACGTCATGTGTTGCCGGTCGGGCAGCTGCCCCTGTTGTGGTGGGACGTCCGGCTGGGTGTCATTACTTTGCAGCGGTGGCGAAAGTAGAAACAGCCGGCAAGTAGCAAGCCTCATGGTCAGATATCTCCGAACCCGAAAACGACGTTTGCTCCCAGGTGTTTTAAACTGTCCGGGAAACGGTAGCGTCCGACATTGCGGCAAGTAAAATTCGTCTAATCCATGACCGACGCGGTGAATTCAAGTCCGACCGCGTGTAACTCGGACAGAGACGAGGCTTGACTTAATTTTTTTAGTGTTTGAAGGATCGGATTAAACGGACCTGCAGAAGAAGTCGTTCTTTACTAAACTTGTAGGAAGCGGCGCTTAACTTAAGCCATTTTTAAAATTGTTTTCTTGAACAATGCCTCACTCTTTGTACTTCAATAATTCAGTTCACTGTTTGACGTAATTCATGGCCAACTAGAAGCCAATACGACTACGCACTACCTCTATTACGACAGCGTTTCAAGTAATGGCAACCATTTCACTTTTCATCGCATAGCCTTTTCAGTCGTCCGCTTCAGATTTTGATAAAATGAAGTCGGCTGATCGATCAAAGAATGATTTCCTTTTCTTTTATTGCCGTTTGTCATATCCGCGGTTCAGCAAAAAGACATTCGGTTGATTTACCATTGAGCGTTTTTCTGTTCCTCCTGTCGCCATTCACTAAACTTGCATTTAGTCAAAAAGCCATTCGGTCAATTATCCTTTGGATAATTTGCCATTCGTCCAATTACCATTCACCTAAATTCCTTTGTGTTCACTTACATTCGCCTAATTAACGTTTCGACTAAGTAGTTCTCGACCATTGTGCATTTCAATCTTTGCAGTTCGACAATTTGCAGATCGTTCAGAAGTCATGTCCTCTATACGCCTTTCGCCCTTTTAGCATGGCGGCAAAATTTCACGGTCAAATAAAAACATTCTAGTGATCTTCATCCGTGAAATAGCATTCAGCTAACACGCCTCCGGGTGACCGTCTGAATACACTTCGCTCGGGTGGAGATGGGGGGGGGGGGGGGCTAATTTGGCTCCTGGTATTTCAAAGATGAAAACATCTAGAGACACCAAATTCGCAGGGTGGGTTGGTCGGTGTGTAAACTAGCTTGGGTCATCATTCGAGGTTCACAGACTATTCCTTACACTAACTTTGTCAAATGACATTTGTGTCATTTGACATTCAGGTCAAATATTTGTCAGACAAGGTCAAACTTAATACTGGTGTCCAAACTTCCGCACACATCCCATGCAACTGCCTTGAGCCTTCATACCTGCTCTATTGAAAAGGCCACTGGCGTTAATTTTAGGTTAGTGACCTAGCTTGACGTTTAAGGGGCCATGGTGACCAGAGACCTACGATATTATTTTGATTTTTGAACTCGAAGAACCTTTAAAGACTACGCTCGGTGGTGGGCTCCCAATAACCAACGGCTGACCTACTAATTTTAGGCTATGGACCTACTCTGATCTATCAGAACTGCAAAGGAAATGTCTGTTGCGGATCGTGTTGTCAAAAAATTCGAATTGGGCATCAGAAGCTATCCCATTACGCCAGCTTTCCGGTAAAAAACGGGCCGGTTTTTACCTCAGTCTTAGAATCATACCTGACCGTAGGTCGATGGCGTTCAACTATCTTAAATTGATTTGTCTTTTTGCCTAAGAAATTGCCTTAGAAATGCATGCATGCATTTCTTATAAAGTTAGGATCCTAAAACTATATACTACTACAACTCCCTAAAATTGGATAAATCCATTGGCTTCATCTAACACTCCGTTGTCATATCAGATTGAAAGATTCCTTAGAAATTGTTCCACTAACAGACACAGAGCGGCTTTGACCTGCTATAGATCAGTGACCTCACAAGGTACATCCAGTTTTGTATTAAAATATCTGGTATTCAATTGCCTGCAGGTACGTAGAGTTTCGCGCCACTACGCCGCGCAGTTCGAATATTACTTTGTGCAAACCTTGAAGGGGGGGGGGGGGCAGATTGACCCTCCCGCCCGAGCTTGCGTTGAACACCATTCGACAATTTGTCTCGGAGCGATCTAATATGGCTTAAGTGAAATGGACCTCTTGATGTTATGTGGTGCGAAATGAGCGTAAAACCCCTAGCGACGTGCTCAGTTACCTGCACCAGCAATTCACAGATGTTTTTCTTGGTTTTCTAAGCTCTTTATTTTTATTTTGCCCGCGTGCATCGATGAGGATCAGAGAAGCATCGGAGGTGGGGAGTCAAATCAGCAAGGTATATAAAAAGTATATAAAGCGACGTCCTTGCCCCTTTGTCCGGATCTATGCCTTGTCTCTAATGACGCTCAGTGCATTGAAACCTAAGATTCAGTGACATGATGGGGCTCAAAATCAGCATGGAAGGGGAGGGCAGGCCCCTCCAAAAGTAGACAAAATGAAACTCCTGCCTGGTTGTTCAATTGGGTAATCAATATACCAATCAATCAATCCATTCAGTTATCAGTTGTTTTTTTTGTCAGAGTAATCAATCTATTTTGTCTGGCGACTCAGAGCGCATTGAGGTTTCCATTTCAGTGACGTCAGGAACGGAAGGCTCGATAATCACAGGATGTCTTTACCACTTTTATACAGCCTTGCTTTTGATGCAGCATTGATTGGCGTGAACTTCGGTTCCTGTAAACAGGGGTAAACAACGGTGGGAGGGGTGTGGGGGTCGGGGTGGGGTTGATTTGGTGCATTATGCATTGTGTGCAAAGGCAACAAGTGTAAGGGTATTGCCAGGGTTGGCTGTCGCGGCTTCAATCTATTTTGTCAGGTGAGTGAAGCCTTTTATCGTTTTGCACGGTCGAGAGACATGGATGGGGCATCATCACACCTATTTTTGCAAAAAAGGTAAAGTTGCTAGTGGGAAGAAAGATAAGGCCATCTGGGCACCACAAGAAAGTACATATTGCATATCTAGAGAGGAAGCATGGGTGGATCCAAGGCAGCTGATATGCCACTGCCTTACCCTCCCTCCTGGGCAGGTGGGCATTCCCCCCCCCTCCCCCCTCCTGGGCAGGTGGGCAGCCTGTTAATGGGTCCAACAGGAAGAGGAGTTTTCAAAGACTTACATGGTCAATTGGGATGCCAATAGCAGCTTGTATTCCCATGGAATTAGGCAAGCCCGATGATCCATATCTACCAGTGTACAAGTTAACTAATAAAACTACGTACCTTTTCTGGTTGCTTGCTATGTTTCAGTAAAACAGGGTAAATGCAAGCTATAGTATATGTTGCATCATTTTTGCATTGTTTGCATGCCATTGTATGGCCCTGGTCAGTGGGCAGCAAAATCTCAAATCTCACTGGACTTTGGAATCTGCCTGTGGACACTGGATGACCTTGACATGATCACCTCAGCAGATAAAGCTCCTGAACCCTGAACCAAATTGACTATGGGATTTATGTACATCATCAAGGTTGGATTATGAAGGCTACATTTGCTTTGCTGCAACCTATGTGGTAGCATTAAAGGTGACCAGCTTATCTAAGGTCTCTATGACCTATAATGAATCAACTTATCTTAGGTCTCAGGCTGCCCTCAGGTATCCTTGTCTTCTGCCCCCCCCCCGTGTGTCCTAAGATATATTCTAAAACCTATGTAGCTTTACAGAATTTGCAAAGCTGAAAAATAATAATAGATTTTGCAAATAATGTCACATGTCTGATGCTTTCATTGTTATCTAGGTGTCCTGGCACTTATACCAAAAGGGTTTCATTACCACTGGCATGAAAACAGTTTGATAGTGTTAACACATCTGATCTTACAAAGCTCAAACTGGGTTCCAAAGTTGTATTCATTTTGTTTTTGTGTGATTATTAATCATAGCAATATGTGTTTCCATTTATTAGTTGATATTGATAGTTGTTATGTATTATAGTTATTGACTACTATTTATTTGTTATTGTTTCATCTTTTTACATTCTCCAGGTGCCATCTGTGTAGTTTAAGCTTTATGTGTCTAAGAGGGTGGCTATGCTGAAAATGTGTCTGCTTTAATGGTAAAGCTAGATACATACTAAATGTTTGATAATATGGTTTTGTAAAATGTATTGATAATGTTGATTATATTAGACTTTTAAGCAGTTTTTTTTAGTAGAAGTGCAAAGATAGGATCATGCCACATGAGAAATGCAAAAGTGTCCCCAAAAGAGAAAGAAAGTCATCTGAAAGCCAGATTCTTCCCATTGTGATTGCACTTAAGAATTCACTCTGAACAATTGGCTGAAGAACTGGCTGTTCAACCCCCCATTTTAGCAACATTGCCAAATTTGAGCTGAATCTTGTGCAGTGTTGTAGGGTATTGTCAAAGGTAGTCCAAAACATCTGCACTTAGCCTTAGCCCGTAGCCCCCACCACCACCCGCATTGATATCTGCTCATATGACACATGACATGCAGTCCCACACGTCATCACTTTAGTTTTATCCGCTAGATGGCCCAGACACTGACGACGATCGTATCGCTCCTGGTTGTGGTACGCCCATCGCCGTCAAGTGCCCCGCCGTCCAGCGTGGTGGAGAACAAACGCCCTAGCAGCGGGCGTGTCGGTGCGGCCAGTCAGTCGGTCCCGATCTCGGTCGTGCCCGCAGTGGGCCCCGATCTCGGTCGTGCCCACAGTGGGCCCCGATCTCGGTCGTGCCCGCAATGGGCCCCGATCTCGGTCGTGCCCGCAGTGGGCCCCGATCTCGGTCGTGCCCGCTGCCGGCCCCAATCTCGGCCGTGCCCACAGTAGGCCCCAATCTCGGTCGTGCCCGCAGTCGGCTCCGATCTCGGTCGTGCCCACAGTGGGCCCCAATCTCGGTCGTGCCCGCAGTCGGCGTGAGGATGGCCTGAGCGGAGTGGCAGCACCGACCGGCGAGCTCTGTTGGACCGGAAGACCGGAAGAATATCCTCGAAGTCAAGACTGATAAGGCCTGTTTGGGGCGCGGATGTGCGGAGGGCTTTGCGTACCGCGACTGTATGGCGGCTGTGGGAGCTCATCCCGGCTCGCTCCGTCCAGGCGGGGGTCCCACCGGACTTAACGCGGGGGTCCGCCCGATGGTGCGGTGTTCGGGCCCGCCAAACACCCCAAAACGCCCAGCTCCCCAAACAGAGGGCTTGGAGATCGGAACCGACCAAACTGCACGACCGGCGCCGCCGCCCGGAGGCAGTGGAAGGGCCGGGAATGGTCCCTGCCCCTGCGATGGCCGGCGACGTCCTTACCTCTACGATCCTACGAGAACACGAATGGTCAGTCATTACTCATGATTCCCAGCCTGGAGCAATAGTGTACCATACGTAAATTGGATACAAGTGAGGCTTCATTTCAGATGATGACTTGGCAGGTCTCTTAACTTTTCGACCATTTTGTTTCTCCTCGAATGGAAGGAGACGTACCAGGTTCAGCTCAAGTATGGTTTGGAGCCGTCATCGCTGCTCTGTGGTTTTCCTCCTGACCACAATAGGGAGCCTTCGTCGCAAGAGCAGAAAAGCTGCGTGAGCCTGACCGCTCGCGCCACACCGTCGGGGACCGCTCGCGTTCCCGTCGACCGCGCCTACACATCGCCGCCCGTCCAGCGGTCCCCGACGGTGTGGCGCGAGCGGTGTGTGCGGCTGTGTGGCTGTGTGGCACGCGTTCCCATCGGCCGCGCCCACATATCGCCGCCCGTCCAGCGGTCCCGACGGTGTGGCGCGAGCGGTGTGTGCGGCTGTGTGGCTGTGTGGCACGCGTTCCCATCGGCCGCGCCCACACATCGCCGCCCGTCCAGCGGTCCCCGACGGTGTGGCGTGTGCGACTATGGCTGTGCGGCACGACGCCGCGCGAGTCGACGGCCCACTGCGACCGACCGGCGCCGCTGCGGTGCGGACGAGCTCCTGGTGATAGGGCGGAGGCCGTCCCGTCACCATCCTCCTCGGAGCCGGTGGTCGGAAGGCATCCCTCCACTTCGGAAATAATAAATATGTGCATAAATCAGGCACCTGATGTGCCATCTCGCCGCGCATGTGCGTTGCCATGAACGGCAGAACCCCAACCTTCTGCGTAAAAATCGGTAGAACTGCTTGAAAAACGGCATGGTACATCTCTTTTGACCAAACAGAACCTGGCTGCTTTTTTGGTGAAAAGCTTGCATCAAGTCTGGCGCCGACTATCACCATGCAACAATGCTCTTGTCCACTACTCTTCAGTTCACCTAGAAAGTCCTGGGGGGGGGGGGGGGGGGGAAGGGGTAGCCACATACTTGCCAAGCAAAGGCCATATCAAGGAGCCGCGTTTTCGAACCCGCGAATATAAGCGTCCGCAATTAAACGTGTTCGATGGAGGTCGCGGCGTCTTGCGAGACGGCCTTTCGTACAGCTCCACACGGAAAATGTCCATTAGCCTTGGGTTGGTGGGTTCCAATGACGACGTAAGTGCTGGGTACAGGGCACGCTGGTCGGCCTGAGCTCTTTATTCACCGAGGCCGCTCGCGCGGACCCGCCGCTGTTCCACCCGTCGTGCTGCCATGGGCGGCGCCGCATGCCATGCTTGGTTTTGTAGAAGGTCGCCTTGCGGTAATTATTTACCCAGCCGCTGTGTTTCGTATTATCAGTATGCACGTTGACGACTGCTGTCGTCGGTCCATCATGTATGAAACGCCGTTTCCAGTCCACCGTGGCGAAGCCATTAACACGCGCCCGGGTGGCCGGTTCGGTACCCTTCGCTCGAGTGGGGTGGGGGGTTACTTTAACCTGGGATTTCATGAATTAAGAGAGCTGGAGACACCAAATTCACAGGATGTGTTTGTCTGCACGTGAACTCACTTGTGTCAGAATTTGAGGTTCTAGGTCATTGTCTTCCGGTCAAACAAGGTCGAACAAGGTCAAACTCTAGATTGAGGTCCCAAGTCCCCCAGACCTTTTCATGCAACCGCCGGGAACCTAGATACCTGTTCTTAGCAAAAGGTCAATTGGTGCTGATTTCGAGTCAGTGACCCTGTTGGACCTTTTGAGGTTCATGATAACCAAAATCATACAAGACTGCTTTTAAATTTTGCATTTGAATAAACGCCAATGAATACCCTGGACAGTATTTAAAAAAAACAAATACGTTTTTGGGGCATTGTTGGTGGGTGACGTATCCTAACGTGTAAGAAGCTCATGAAAGATGTGTAATGTGGTTCCTGTTATCAATTAATTCTAGATGAGTGGCAGAAAGTATCCATACAGCAATCTCTAGAGTAAAAAAAACAGGCTAGTTTTGTGCTTGATTTGGCCTTTATACCCGACCTTAGGCCATTGCAATTTGTTAATTCAGTTGCGTTGCTAACAAACTATCTCATAGATGTATGACTTCGTCTGGCACTCCGTTGTTGCATCATATTGAACGATTCCCTAGAAACTGTTTTCGCTAAATTCATGTCCTAACTTTGACCTAGCGTAGGTAAGTGACCTTACTCAAACGATCTGCTATTTAGTTGTCTACAGGTATGCAAAATTAGGCGCTGCTTCGCCGCGTCGTTCATAAATAATTTCGGAAAGCCTTTGGGGTGGGGGGTGGGGGGTCAAAGCAACCCCCACGTGAGCTCGTGTTAAAGTTTCGACAAGCTGCATGCGACAGATGCAGCGCGGCGACCCTGACCATGGGCCGTGGGCTTTCAAATAGTAGTATTCCACGTGCATGTATAGTATAGTATAGTATAGTATAGTATAGTATAGCATATATATATATATATATATATATATATATATCTGACAAGGACAGGAGCATGGCGTTATCTGGAGCTGCGTGCGGCCTGTGAACAGTGACGTGTT